AACATTGCCTTGAAAACCCTGTGGAAGGGTTCTACTCTGCACACATGTGGTAGCTATGAATCTGAGTCGACTTGATGATAACTAACAGTAAACTAATAATAAATGTAGAATTTTTCAAATTCACACCAACTATAACGCTTAATGAAATAATGGGCCTCAAAATAAATCATCCATGGATGCTGTAACTTTTAGGTTAGTGTTTCTCAAACTTATTTTTCATTTCCACCAGGCGCGTCTTTTCAGAATTTTTTTTTCCTAATAGCCACCTCCCACTAATAAAATTCTAATACTACGACTATATGTGTTTCTGTATTGTTCCCTCTGTAGGGCCATAAATCATTGTAATAACTAAAATTTTCTTGTTCCTTCCCCGCGAAGAATCAACTGTGACCCCACCCCCCTTGGGGATTATACTCAACCAAAGCCGCCAATCTGCGATAGCAGACTTTACTCCTTAAGAAAAGTAGCCTGGAGTGCTGCGGCCTCTGGGGGAAATAATGTAGTCCACAGCGCCGGTCGACCAGCTCCTAGCAGCACCGAGCGGTGCCTGGCACACTAGTATTCCCAGCACTCCATACCGGGCTTCTTTCTGGGGGTTCCAAGTCAGGTGCCGCGTGCGTGCAGAAACCCTGTAAACTCGTCTGCTCACCTGCGGGTAGTAGATGTAACCAAGATGTAACGCCGTAAGTTTACGAAATGGCGCCGGACCGCGGTGGCTTCCGGGACATGTAGTCTAAAGAGGGAAACCGGCCCTGTCCATCAGAATGTACGCCCAGCGACACTGACCAATACTCAACCTGAGGTCCATATCAGACATACCATGCAGCTCCCTTGCTCCGAGTGCGGATTTCACTGTGCTGTGTCTAAATTCACCTATCGCGTTGTATTCAAGTGACCTCCTCCACTCCCAGAGGTTCCACAAATCTCACAACACCCGAGGTTGAGTCTTGGCATGGTGCCTTTTGGGAAATGTAGTCCCAGACCAGTGAAGGTATGGAAAGCCGGAAAGCAAGAGTCCAGTTTCTCTCAGAACTTTGGCTAAGGTGCAATGACTGCGGCAGCTAGGTTGCTGCTCCAAGGGTCCGAGTATGTGTGTCTGTATCTCCGAGTGCCCTCTACGCGGTAGAAGTGGGAAAGGGAGGACTGTGATGTGTGTCAGGCTGTGCTTGAGAATGTGAAGGGTGATAAGTAGAGAAGCATGTGAGCCATTTAGTTTTAGGCGTTTGATGACTTGGTGATCGATGTGATTATGGCTCTGTTGGTGATGTCTGCGAGTAATCAAAACAACAGCGATTAAATATCTTATAATTTGTAAGGCAGTGCTCATCTTTGTTTGCATGGGTTTGAATTTAAAACAGATTCTTAGGGAATTATGGGCCTGCTATGTGAATGATGGGAGCTCTGGTGGCTTACGGCTGAAGGCATTTTACTGCTAACCAGAAGGCTGGGAGTTCAAACCAACCAGCTACTGCTCTGAAGGAAGATTGGGCAATATACTTCTGTGGAGATACCACCTTGGAAACCCAGGAAGGGGTTGCTATGAGTCAGATTCGACTCCAGAGCACTGAGTTTGATTTGGTTTGGTTTTAAGTGAATAAGGAACACTGATGGTGTAGTGGTTAAAGCATTGGACTGCTAACCAAAAGGGCGGTGGTTTTAACCCACTAGCCATCCAGTGGGAGAATGATGAAGCAGTCTACTTCCATAAAGATTTGCTGTTGTTGTGAGGTGCCTTTGAGTTGGCTCCAACTCATAGTGACCCTATGTGCAACAGAACAAAACACTGCCCAGGCCTGCACCACCCTCACAGTCCTTACTGTGCATGAGCCCATCTTTACAGCCACTGTGCCAATCCATCTCATTGAGGGCCTTCCCCCTTTTTCTTGACCCACCACTTTACCAAGCATGACATCCTTCTCCAGGGAATGGACCCTGCTGACAACATGACCAAAGTAGATGAGACGAAGTCTGGCCATTCTCGCTTCCAAGGAGCATTCTGGCTGCACTTCCTCCAGGACAGATTTGTTAGTTCTTCTGGCAGTTCATGGTACTTTCAGTATTCTTTGCCAACACCACAACTCAAAAGCATCAACTCTTCTTCAGTCTTCTTTATTCATTGTCCAGCTTGCACAGGCATATGAGTTGATTAAAAATACCATGGCTTGGGTTAGATGCACCTTAGTCTTCAATGAGACATCTTTGCTCTTCTGCCTTTAAAGAGGTCTTTTGCAGCAGATTTGCCAGGGCAATATATTGGCTGATTTCTTAACTGCTGCTTCCATTGGTGTTGATTGTGGAACCAAATAATATGAAATCTTGCCAACTTCAATCTTTTCTCCATTTATCATGAGGCTGCTTATTGGTCCAGTTGTGAGGATTTTTCTTTTCTTTATGTTGAGAGGTAATCCATACTGCAGACTGGTGTCTTTAATCTTCATCAATAAGTGTTTAAGTCATCTTCACTTTCAGCAAGCAAAGTTGTGTCATCTGCATATCTCAGGTTGTTAAAGAGTCTTCCTCCAATCCTGATGCCACATTCTTCTATATAGTCCAGCTTCTCAGATTATTTGCTCAGCATACAGATTGAATAAGTATGGCAAAAGGATAAAGATTTAGAGCCTTGGAAACCCTATGGTTGCTATGAGTCTAAATTTACTTGATGGCAGTGGGTTTTTAGGAGAGTGATAAACAGAGTTTACCTGTGGCAGCAAGTGTGGGAAAAGACATGTGTGAGCATTGTACTATGAGAATGAGCATGATTGTATGAAACTCTGTAGTGCTAGTATCTCTAAGCATCAGTTTTTTGACTTCTAAAATGAGCTGAAGAGTCATGTAACACTTTAGAGCAGTGCTGTCTTTAGAACTTTCTGCAATAATGGATTCATGTTCTAAATCTACGCTGTCCAATTCAGTAGCCACCAGCCACAAGTGACTGTTAAGCACTTAAAATGTGGTTAGTTTGAGTGAGGAGCTAATTTTTTTTCAATTATTACTATATTTTAACTGTCATAAACAGCCATATATAGCTAATGGCCTCTGTATTGGACAGTGCAGTCTGGAACATTGATTTGTCTTTAAGATTTGGAGAGGGGGGAGTTCTGGCAAGATGGTGGACTAGGCAGAAAGACTGAACAGACTCTCTTCAAGAAAGAAAAGGGAAACCAATTTACACAGACACAGAAGATAATCTTGGACCCCTGAGCCTTGAAGGGAAGGATATACAAGTGGACTAAACCCCAACTAGCAGAAGATTTTGCATGAAAACACCAAAAAAGGAGACATACGGAGTTGCGATCTGGCAGCGATCCTGAGCGATCTTGACAGCACAGACAGCTTGGACATTACCGAGTGGTGGTAGGACCTAAGAATTAACCTGAAAATCAGCCCTGCTAGCCAGGGACTGCACGGAGGACTGCTCTGGTGGCTGGGGAATAAACGGAGAAAGTGAAGAGAAAGGTGGGCTGAGCTGTGGACTTTTGCCAGTCCAGAGGGCACCGCCATTTTGAAGCTTTAAAAGCGGCTTGACTACTTTGGATATTTACAGAGACACCGATCTCGTAGATTCCTGGGACTTAAAAACACATTCTCCTTTCCAGAAAACTCAAGGACACTCTGGACCTGCAAGACTGAAAAGTTTTTTCATGGTTATTCAATTGTAAGTTGTGTCTAACTGAGTGGGAGACAACAACAGTCCCCATCAGACACAACTACACCCACACCTCCTACAACTTCACTTACTGAGTGAGAGCCACTACCTGCTCCTCCATCAAACGGCCAACGATAAAAAAACACCAAGAACAGCCTGAATCACCCTTGTCTGCTCTTCACAAACAGTTAAGAGAGATCTAAATACAACAATGCCACAATGCCTCAGAGACAACAGACCATCACAGTCCACACAAAGAAGCAGGACAAAGTGATAGAAACAAGGGAGCAGGATACAGACCCAGAACACATCCCTGAGGAAGAAGCAGCTTTGGAATTCTCTGATAAGGAATTCAAAAGAATTATCTTAGGTATCTTCAAAGGATTGAGAGACAGACAAAAGAAAATGCAGAAAAGACCCTAGAAGAATTTTGGAAGAAAATGCAAGAACAAAATGACAAAATAAATGAAAAACTAGAAATGATTCTAAATCTACAGATAGAAATCCAGAAGATTAATACTAAATTGTCAGAAATAGGAGTTCCAGCAAGATGGCGGACTAGGCAGAAGGACAGCACAGACGCTGTTCAACAAAGAAAACGGAAACCAATTAACACAGACACAGAAGATAATATTGGACCCCTGAGCCTTGAAGGGAAGGATACAAAAGTGGACTAAACCCCAACTAGCAAAAGAATTTGCGTGAAAATACCAAAAAAAGGAGACACACAGAGCTGCAGTCTGGCAGCGGCCTGAACAACCCTGACGGCACAGACAACAGGGCTTGGTGATTCCTGAAATCACCTGCTGGCCAGGAACTGCATGGAAGACTGTGCATGGTGGCTGGGGAACAAACTGTGCATGGTGGCTGGGGAACAAACGGAGAAGGTGAAGAGAAAGGTGGGCTGAGCTGTGGACTTTTGCCGATCGGGAGGATGCTGCCATTTTGTAGGTTTAAAAAGTGGCTTGACTATTTTGGATATTTAAAGAGATAGCGCTTTCTCAGATTCCTGTGGTGGTAGAACTTAAGAATTCACCTAAAAATCACCCTGCTAGCCAGAGACTGCACGGAGGACTGTGCACGGTGGCTGGGGAACAAACGGAGAAGGTGAAGAGAAAGGTGGGCTGAGCT